AGCACTTCTGTGAACAAGAAAAAAAAACAGGATAAAATCATAGCCTATAAAAGGAATAAATAGCCTATCTATACACAAAATTTATTTCGATTCATGGTGAAAATGATTGCTTTTGAGAGGCAAGTTCACGGAAAGGAAAGCTGCTTGTTTTCTTCATTATACAAGCAATGTTTTGTTTTTATTGTGAGTGTAGGTAGGCTATACACAACAAATTATAAACCATTCACAGATTCGAATGATCTTTGGCTATAATAATACGTGCTGAATTGGTCTGGTCTGACTCAGTTCATCATTGATTGGGAGAGAACAGTTCAAACTTACTGGCTGTGTAAAACAGTGGGCGTGACTCATTATACTATTAGCAAAATGCCGTAAAATAACGCGCGCTCTGTTCAACCAAAACGGCGTTTTTTACGCCGTCATATGGCAAGATGAACGTCGTAAAAAGCGGCGCTTTCCATGAACAAAAATACGCCGTGGAATACGGCGTCATTGACGTATTTCGCGCGTTTTTTTACGGCGTCTGTAATTACAACGGCGTAAAAAACGCGCGAAATACGTTTTAAAACGCCGTATTTTACGGCGTTTGGCTGTAAACGCGATTAATCTATAGCGTAATTCTGACCCTCTTGGCTTGCCATAGTATGGGGGTTGCAACTTGCAAGCACTCCGGTTCGCGTCGTATTCACGATACAGCACACCCTCTCGTACCGTATGCTTACATGTACGACGCAGTCTAGACCGGACGCGAGCAGAGCGACGCGACCCGTGAAATCCCCAACAGCACGTAGTACCCCAGAGTGCAGTCTGGACGATGGGGCGGGGCGACACTTTTGGGCAGGGCGACACGTGTCGCTCCGCCCACCCCCAATTTTATTGGTTTATAATACCGCAATCTTATTGGTGTAGACGATTCAGGTCTGAGCATGCGCATTCCTTTAAGTACGATTTTATGAATGATTTGGCGTATTAAAGAACTATTAAATACTTTAATCGTATGGCTATCTTATCGGTTTACCATGGTAATTTTAGTTAAGATCTATTGCTGTTTTATTGTACTTAAGACACAGAATAGATTAAGTTATTGTTTAAAAACGAACGCTTGGTGACACAGCACCTGTAGGCCTACTTCAGTGAGATGTTTTACATTATAGCGCGTCATTCACTTGGCTTCTTTATACTTCTATCAGGATCGGTGGATCAGCACAAACTCGGGATTTTACGCAAATGATGATAATTCACTGTAAGAATGTAGCCTAATAGCAGCTGATTTTAATTTTTAAAGCACGACCGTTTTTGTTTCATTTTTTAACGAGATGTTATTTGCATTATTGTGTAACGATGTAACGTGCATTATTTGGTAGGCTACAAAGTGCAAAATAAAATGTTTAATGGCAAACTCATGTTTCGTTGTTGTTTACCTGTTAATAAAATGAGGGCCTATATATGGTTCTGTAAAGCCCTATGTTATAGTTTTAAAAGATTCATGTTTTCTAATAAGTGTCAACTGGTTAACATGTAGGCTAGCTACAACTATCTGTGACTGCGACATTATAAAAATCCTATAATTTATTTATCCACCCCCGCATTACGTGTCCATGTTTTAATATGCGTAGTATAGGCTACGGGATAAAAATGGTTTTAAATATTAACACTCACATATAGGCTAGCTGCATAACCATAAAAAAAAACACTGCTGTAAATCTGTGCAATTATAAGGCCTATAATAAAATAAATAAAATACCCAGCAGAGAAGTGATATGAACATGTAGGCATATTGCTTAAATACGCTCTTGAGCACATAAATAATAATATTTGCTATAGCCTAGATCGACATAATAAATCTGTTTTAGTAAATAAATATATATTTTTTTTCTTCACATTTCAGCAGTGCACGGTTTTTATTCCTTTTCAGGGGCGGATCTACCGGGGTGGCATAGGGTGGCAAATGCCACCCTAAAAGAAAGCCTTGCCACCCCTGCTGCCACCCCAGTTGGCAGCAACGAATTAAAAGTTATGGCCAATTTGACAATTTACGAACGCGAATCTCCAATGTCCGACTGCAGTGAATTCGCTCCGTGCATAATATGACGACCGTTGACGTTCGTACTTTATTGTGTGGGCAAATACTTCCGGCGAAAACTTCCGGTGATCTGACCGCGAGAGCGGGAGACAGCGAGAGCAAGAGACAACAGCGACCGAGTTCCATTACCAGAGAGATAAGTTTTCAACCCGAGCAAATTTTTAAATGCATATATCATTTTCAGTGTATTTCACCTGTGCGTTTCTATGCTTTATATTACTGCATTTATTTTGTGCAAGTGAGATGAGTAAAGAACATCTGTTTCACATATCATTATCTGTCTGGTGTTTATAAGCAGTAGCCTACAGTATTTTACTACGTGTAAAATATACACAAACTTAGCTATATTAAGTTGTTTGTGTACAGTTAAAAATATAAATGTAAAATATGTGATAATAATATTGATGGAGCAATTGATGTAAGTAGATGTTAAGAAAATATTATTTAATATTTATGGAGATAAATTTTAGCCTATCATAAAGCAAACGTGTGAATGTTCACAGGGTATTTTATTTAATATTATAACTATTATTATATAGTAGTGTAATGTAGACAGACACTATATCACAACTAAAAAGAGTTTTGAGTTTTTTTTTGTTCAATTTGCACACTGAATATGGGTTGGAGCTCTTTATTTTGAACTCTCAAAGTGCACCAGATTGATGAATTTAACATTAAAAAGCACAAAATTTTCTTACGGGGGAGCATGCCCCCCAACCCCCCTAGAGGGACAGAGGTGCACTCTCCACTCACCATAGATTTCCCAAAATCCTATCGGAAAAACCGGTATGCAGCTTATAGCTTGTTTTAGGATTCATCACTGTGGAGTAATGTTCAACTGAGTATAGTTCAACCCCCCCACCCCCACAAAACAGATACAAATAATGCCCTTTTGTAGTGTGTATACGATTTCTCATCAAACTGTGTTAACTGTCATTAAATTCATACGTCTGCCATGTTGCCACCCCTCAAAAATTCCTGCCCCCCTCTTGCCACCCCATAAATATTGTTCTAGATCCGCCCCTGTTCCTTTTGTAGCCTACGCACAAACCCCAATGGCCAGGGCTTGTATGCTATTTTGGTAGCCTATCATTGTCTTATTTGTCACCGTGGTTTTGCTTTAAAATAAAATAAAACACACTTTTGGATTTATACAATGTTTTACTGAAATACATGTTATCATCATTTGTGTAAAATCCCGAGTTTGTGTTTATTCACTGATCCTAATGGAAAAACGAAGAAGCATTTACGAATGATGTAAAATTCCGGAGCCCTGCATGAAATGCGGAAAAATATTGTCTAGCCTAAATCAGCCTATAGAAATTATCTCTCCTTCTATGCCAGTAATTTCATGCCGTCATGATCATTGCTCACTAAAAGTGGCACTGACTTTATCTCCAGGGTAAATTAATAAATACAATAGTATCTAGGCTAAATCTCAAACAGTGTATCATCAGCAACATAGGCTATTTCGTGATATCGCCTAGCCCTAAAACTGCTCAATATTATAGCCTATAAAGCTTACAATATTACTTTTTGTAAAGCTGCTTTGAAACGATGTGAATTGAGCGCTATACGAATACATTTTGACAGGAACTTCATCTAACTTGATTCGTAAATTCATCAAAACATTATCCAATTGATCGTTACTGAAATAGGAAATCGCCATGGTTATAACTTAATATTTCTGTAGTAGGCTATGGCCAAACAGCGTCGTAGATCATCCATAAACTCCTACCATAGACTCATACATAATGGAATGCGCATGCTCATGCCTTAAGCATCTACGCCAATAAGAGTGCTGTATTATAAGCCAATAAAATCAGGTGTGGGCGGAGCGACACGTGTCGCCCCGCCCAAAAGTGTCGCCCCGCCCCATCGTCCAGACTGCACTCTGGGGCTACTCAACAGCACACGGATTCCCCAACCTATTTGTGACCCAGCTCTTTGCAACAGTCGCTTCAAGCACTGTGTTGCGTCGCACCGCGCTGCTCGCGTCCTGTCTGTGTAGGTGACACGGTGGCGTACATCTAATCAATTTTACACAAAATATACTTTAAAACAAACACCAGAGACTGCTTAGACAAATATCTCACGTGATGAGAACGCTACCTAACACAAAATCATTAATGTTTAAGAAACCTTCTGCAGTCCCTAATGGATCAAAATGCTCGACTTTTCTGAGATCATCTACTCTTCCCTGTGGATGACCTGTGACCTACTTTCTGTAAGACCTGAATTTTTGAGTTTGAATTTTTGAGATTGAATTTTAGAAAACTGAGTTTGAAGTTCCGAATTTCTTCATCTTGAAAACTTGAATCTGTATTTTTTTAAACTGAATATTTGCAGTATTTGAATTCAGAACAAAAAAACTAGCTGTTTGAAAATACATGTCTATAAAATTAAGCCATAAAAACCTTTCAATTAGTTAAATTTCAAATGTTCAATATTCGTTTAAAAAATCAAATTCAGAACTATTTAAACTACCACCTAAATTTCAATTTTGTTAGATTACACTTGCAAATAATTCAAATTTACACAATTCAAATTCAAATCATTTTGTCATATTATTAGCTCCATACTAGAGCAACGTCTGCCCAACGGAATCTCTTTCCCAAGGAGTCACGTGCTGCTCAGCGGCGCTTCCGATTGGTCAACTAGCTTTGCTATGCGGCCGTGCTAGCAGGCTTACTGGGATATCAAGATTATTACATCCAGACTGGTGGATAAGTATTTGTAATACGTACTACATGTCAGTTATGTTTAGTATGTT